ATGATTATTATTAAAGTTGAATGTTTAGGGCGTAGACTATGGCCCAATCTAAGCATAGAACGATAACCGTCTCCAAGGTATACCGCGGTTTGGAAAAGTCAAGGTTTTAAAACCGCCAAAACTTTCTGTAATACCTTTCCTAATGTATGTGTAAGATTTTTTGTTTACATTTTTTAGGACAACAGTATCTCCCGTTTTAAATTGTGAAGAAATCTGTGTTTTTTAAACTAATAAAGACCATAATCCATTTGAATTATTTAGCCTGACATGTTTACTACTCCAAAATTTATTTTAAAGGTACTTAAAATAAAATATATTGTGTTTAAAAGGGTAAAAGTTTTAGTTTTAACCCAGACTTTTAAGAAGAATATATTTTATAGCAGTAATCACAATACCGTGAAACCGTAAAACCGTGATATTTTTATCCAAGGTTATCATACCGTCAGAATCTTACACCGGCCTATGCCAATCACAATTCTTGGTTCTTAAAACAGAGTGAGTGGGAAGAGGAAGGGCTTCAAAATTTACCCCTAAGAAATGGGACAGCACTACAGCACCTGCACATGTCATAATATGTCATTGTCATCTTTAGCTTCATATGAGATCATCATGATCTTGACTGCTGTAGTTATTCCAGTTGTGTTATTGTTTGGTACTTGTCTTCAGGAAATCACTGAAGGCAACAATATCATAATATCATGATTATCTAATATGGCAATAAGATTGTAACTGTACTTTGCATTTACACAGTGGCCATGTTTATCTGTAAACACAAGATAACAACAGTAACATTATAGCAGACACTGTAAAAAGCTCATTCCCAGCTGCTAGACTTTTCTGACAGCATATTCGAGTGTCAGAATATTGTGAAACTGCTGTTCATGAGTTATTATTAGGGATTATAGATAGCAAAATTTAGCGGATTTAATTTAATTTTAACGGTAAAACACAAACACGGTTATTAATATATTAAAACATGTGCTTGTTTGTTGTAAAAATTTGTAATGATGACAGAAAAATACTAATTTGTGCATCTCATCCCACGTTGCCGTTGTAGCTGGTGTATTCTGGGAAATTTTCATACCCCTTGGTTTTGAGTGTGGTCCTGGAAAATCTCAGTTTGAAGGGCTATCTAGCCCTTCCTCTAAGCCCTACTCCTTTAAGCTAAAGATAATTGGGACACCCCTACCCCTTTATGTGAATGAGCAAACTGAGGGGTAGGGATAAGTGGAAGGGCTATCATTGTGTCATTATTACAAATTTTTACAACAAACAAGAACATGTTTTAATATATTCAAAACGGTGCTTTACCATCATAATAACAAAAAATAAAAGTAAAACGCAAAAATAAAAAACGCTAAATTTCGATATCTATAATACCTAATAGTAACTCATAGCAGTCCCACAACATACTGACACATCTGTTGCTCAACAGTTGAATATTCTCCAGAAAAGTCTAATATGTAAAGTACAATGTTAATGTTGTTTTCTTGTGTTTAGATGAATATGGCCGAGGGTTAAATGCACAGTACAGTTACGATCTTATTGCCACATTATATCATTATGATGACATAATATCGTTGCCTTCAGTGATTTCCTGAAGATAGTTGCAATTGTCTTATTTTATAAGAAGCAAGAGATCGATGACGTATGATGACATGTGCAGATTCTGTAGTGCTGTACAATTTCTTAGAGGTAAATTTTGAAGCCCTGAAGAAGGGGTTTCAAAAATAAAATTGGGATTGGGCCTTACCTGCCAACACTCCCGTTTTTCCCAGGAGTCTCCCGTATTTCAGACAAATCTCCCGCAACCCTCCCATTTTGTTATTTCTCCAGGAAAACTCCCGTAATTTCATCCCTCCTCCTTCTTGGTACAATCTTTAACACCCCCGGGTCACAGACTTTGGTACAGTATCCTATGTAAACTCAACGGCCGCCCAAAACCAGTTGCATAATACAGTTACTAACACCACAGTACAGTTACTTTCCTATCCCAGTTATCAACAGTGTTATTCAGAGACCTCACCCACGAGATTGTAAGGAGAGCGGCCTACAAACTCATTTGCGAGTGTTGAAGCTGGCTTCTGCTGATGAGACTGCAAACTATCTTCAGTAAACTTTCTTCAATAGAATCTCTGACTCCAGCTCTTCTTCTTCTGACTGACGGGTCATTTTTTGGGTTAAAACTGTAAACATCCCTACACTAATAGATATCCCAGATATTGTGCTGCTTTTCGATGCCAAGATCTGACCTTTAGTAGTTTCACATGAAAAAAAAAAATGTTGGTGTAGTCTTAAAAATGCTAAAAATTAAACATAACCTGGAAACTAATTAATATATTGGTGCTTTTAATGTTAATCCCAGAGCACTTGTTCAAATAGTCCACATCTGACAACAATACAAAACACTGTTCTTTAAGCTGATTTAAAAGCTCCTTTATTGTTCGACTTTTTAGCTTCAGACAGTTTCGCTAATCCCTCACCGGACAAGATCAGAATGCGTAATGAATAGACTAATTAAGAACTTACACTAATTAAAAGAAAACTAACTTTAATTAATGCTTCAGATAAGGGGCAAGCAGGGACACGTGTAAGAGGATCTGCTTTACTTAACTCATGATGAGTCTATGTGGCTGGATTTACACACGAACACACATACATTCTGAGTTTCCATGATTTAAAGGTATAGTTCACTCAAAAGTATAAATACCATCAGTATTCACTCATTCTATACTAACCTGATTGACTTTCTTTCTACTGTTGAACACAAAAGAAGATATTCTTAAAAATGCTGGTGAGCAGCAGCCATTGACTTCAATAGTTAAAATATTTTGTTCCTATTATGGATGTCAATGGCTGCTGCTTTCAACCCAACATTCTTCATAAGATTTAGTTCTGTGTTCAACAGAGGCAACTAATTAATGTAATTTAGTAATAATTCAGTAACTAATTCAGTTTAGAAGGTTAATGTGAGAAAATGGTTAGGGATGTGTAATGTGTGTGTGTGTGTGTGTCTGTATATATATAGTCATAATTATTAGCCCCATGAATTAATAGCCAAGCTAATAGCTACACACACACACATATATATATATATATATATATATATATATATATATATATATATATATAGTTTAGAAGTTTAACGTGAGAAAATGGTTAGGAATGTGTGTGTGTGTGTGTGTGTATATATATATATATATATATATATATATATATATATATATATATATATATATATATATATATATATATATATATATATATATATATTTTTTTTTTTTTTTTTTTTTAAATAAAATATTCCACAAGATGCTGTACAATAATATATTTGTGCATATACATGCATTCCAAAATTTGGAACAAATCTAATAAAAATAAACTGAAGATCAGTCTAAAAATGTGTAAATATGTTGGGGAATATGTTTAATTTGGAACACCCTATATGAATTTAAATATAGTATGGTTTTATTCTTAAAGATGTTTGCCTATATATGACTATAAAGCTTTAATCATTATTAAGAAGTTAAGTGAATAAGAATTGCACCAAATTATGGCAGGTAAATGTTAACATCACTTTGATTAAGCTTAAACTTAAGACTTGAGAGTAAACTTTTAGCCTGATAGTTAGCCTGCCCCAGACCAGGCTAGTTTTCCAGCATAAGTTGCCAGCTTTCGTAACTTTCATAAATTTGATTTATGAAACAGAATCCGCCATTAATAAACAGGACTTACCAAAATAAGCCTGGCTTTTTCTGTAAGCTTGGTTTAAGGAACAGCCTCCTGATGTGCATATTTTGATTTTCTCAGACATATCAAGGTAAGTGTGCAAAGATCACTCTGACATTTTCACACACTCACAGACACACATACACAAACTTTCATTTGCTGTTGTACTCTATACACAATCCAGAAACAAGCTTTTTTTTAAAAATTTTTTTAAGATTTTTATTTATTTATTTTTTTTTAGCAATCTAACGGGTTAATGGTGCCAACTGATGATCAACAGTAAAAATTACAAATTTGACTTCTTCCCAACAGGGAAAACCAACAACAATCAAAAATATATTATTATATGATGTCATAGCTTTGCAATTAAAAAAAAAATGTGGTTATAGTGGAAGACGATGGGTCGAAAACAGCCACCAACAGTATTTTACAGAGAAAAAAAAAGAAAATCTTATGCTGCACAAAAGCTAACAATGCATCAAAGGCAATGTCACTGACCTTTCACAAATCCAAGACAAAAAAATCCAATCCACAATTACTTTTTATATTAAAAATAAGTAATTTTGTGTGTTTTTTTTTACCAAACCACTGACATCAATTATGAATTTGGCAATTAAAGACTTAAAATTCTGTAATTATTAAAACATTTAGTAATTTTGATCAGGACTGAGGTTGATTAATAGATTTATGCAAAATAATTAATTTGTCTGATGCAGTTTCACAGCAGTTTAATTCAGTGGATGTTTTCCTCCCGAACATAACAAAAGGGTAGTTAATTTGAACAGTGCACAAGGGTTAAGGTTTATTCTGATAAATTTTGTTTCACATCTTACAGTTTTTACCTTTTCCTCAGAGTCACGTGTTTACATCTCGCAATTCTGACATTTTCCTGAGAGCTCTAATGTCATTTCTAATACTCAAATTAAATATTTATGAAATTATTTCAAGTGTGATGGTGTCCATTAAACTAATATTTCACTGCTGTGTTGCATGAAGACTTTCAACAGACATAAAGTCATCATTTTAAAGATGATTTACCAGCCTTTTTTAACAGGTCTATAGCAAAATTTAATAACTAAAATCAACATATTTTTTCAGCTAGTTGGCAAGGAAAAAAATCTCATTTTAATTTAGGCAAACCAAACTCCTTAAAAAATGAAATAAAATAAATTAAGTATCTTGTACTAGTTTTCCACAAAGCAGGGAATTCCTTATCTGGATCAAACACACACACAAGCACGCACACACCCACAAAAAACACAGGTACTTACTGAGGCACAGGCTTTAACAGAAGATGAGATGGTTTCTCATTGACATGGTAGAGTGGGAATGGGTCAAATCCACCAATAAAATCAACTGAAAGCCAAACAAAAGGTGAAATTAAAGAATGAAAGAAATGAAACGAGACAAAATAAACCATGAAGAGAACAAATGAAACATGAAATGATCATCACTTGATGTAAATCAAAATCAAAATCATGCATGACAGAAATATGAAACATTTACTGTACACAACAACACCACAGATATCAAACAATGATTAAACAAGTCACAGATTTTAAAAGGTTCATTACAATATTTAAATGTTCTTTACTCTAACATTAGACTACAAATGTTATTTTTAATTGCATCAATCCAAAACAACAACAACTTGTTTTTAGTGCAAATGTGTAGAAAAGAATTGATATGGTCTCACACACACACACGGTCTTGAAAAAGATTTAATTTTCACTAGCAGTACAAAATTCTACTGTGATATTTTTCTCTCACATAAACACCAGTACAGCTATCTTTATGTGGACTTCCCATATATATAATGATTTATATACTGTACAGACTGTATATTTTATCCCCCTACCCCTAAACACAGGGCACCTGTGAGGGCACAGGAAACATTCTGTAGATTTACACTTTCAAAATACTTCATACTGTGTGATTTACGTTATATCCACATAGGGAGAAAAAAATGTCCCCACAAGGTCAACATACAAGGAACACACACACACACACTTTCACAGGAATAAATACGTTTTTGAATGAGTGATTTTGATTATGAGATGTCAAGCCTCATTCACCCCAGTGTGATCGATTCCAAACTGAAAACACACACACACTGTCCCTGCATGACAATTCCAATGCCTCATATTTTAAATAGAAATGAGTGCTCAAGATTAAAACTAAATAATGTGAAATGGTGAGTGATTTCTGTTGGGAATGTCGAAATATGCATTTGCATGACACTGTGAAGACTGTGAGTTGAAGAGATCAGCTATAAATGACAATTCTGTCAATGTTTATTTACCAATATTCTTCCCAATCCCATATTTATTCATATTTATTGGGAACAAACTGATGAAAGCTTATTTCCACAGTAATAAATAAATAAATAAATAAATAGGTAAAGGACTTTTTGTATTACTTTTCCAACACAGGTTCAATGTACTGTAAATAAGTGTTTCGGCTTGCATTGTAAAAAATCCAAAATGTACTTTTACCTACTGTACGTTTGACTGCAGTTTCAAGGTAAAATAAACACTAGAGGGCAGTATGACAACAACAACTTTATTCCTTTTCACACTATTGATATTCACAGGGAAATAATATTGGTGAATAAAGGATTATTGTCATGCAGTGCTTTGCCTAACACCAAAAACCCACAAAACAACTTAATAGTGTCTATGATTTGTAATCATAAGTGTTTGTCTCACCAATTTAGCTCCATATGAACTACTTTTCTGGATTGGTCAGTTTGCTTGATACCTCACTTGGTACAATGTTGTACTTGTGAAGTCTGCGTTTGAAGAGACTATTAATAGGGTTTAGGGAAGAGTTCTTTTATTTTTATTTTTGGCATTTTTGTTTTTATTTGACAGGACAGTGAAGGCTGATTTATACTTCTGCATCAAGCGAAGGTGTGTGGTTCGGTGCAGCCTTCACGTTGTGGTATATCTCTCAGCGTGGCTGTCTGATGTGGACCTCTCAAAAAAGTACAGGTAACTACATGTCGCAATGACGCGCAGTGCAAGCTCTGTGATTGGTTGGCTTGGTATCAGTGACGAGCGTACGCGGTGCTAAGAGCTCCGAGACCAACAAAGCGAGTGTTTACAAGTGTCGAGTCCCATGAAGGGACTCCAGATGGAAACTTTTTTCGTGTTTACCTTATGATTAAAGTTGTTGCACCTCTGCCGGTTTGCGTCTCTGAATGAACTAGTTTTAGCTTCTTGTACATTAAGGTAGCGTTCAGAAAAAACAAACAAAAAAAATCTGCAAAGAAACCTGATACAAAGGAACATTAAAAATCTACTGCTACCTAGCGTCATCGTGGAGCAACACAAACAGTGTGCAGATGTATAAATGCATGACTATGCGCAAGTTGGGGGGGTTTGCACTAAATGTCGGCGCAGTGACCACTAGACGGGGAATTCTCAACCAGTGGGCCACTGCAATCTTGCAAGTGGGCCGCGAGACTTAAATATTATACTATATTTATTTGATTTCATTATTAAATATGTCATGTTAAAATGATAGTAGTAATGGCATTTCTCGTTTTCTCTGATTAAAAAAGACTAATTCGGAATTCGGCAAAAACAGCCTCACTGTTAACTACAGAGATAGCTGTGGCTTAAACTTCCAACCGCTGCGCATCAACTTCTATAAATCAAACCATCATGCAAATGCAAAAGGTAACGATGATTAGAGTTATAATAACCAGCTCGCGCGTGCCCCACATCTGCGACTCGTACTGTATCAGAGTCGCACATGTCCATTGATCTACAAACTATGCGTGTTCTCTTTGTGTTAACAATTTAACATATCCACATAGTTGTCATTTAGTTAACATCCTGCAACGTTTTATAACTGACGCGCTTCCATTCAGGAGGATCTAGCGATACTCTGTTGTGTTTCAGCAGTGAACAGCTGGTCACTGTTCCTGTCAACGAACTCCAATAATGTCCAGCTACAAACCAAACCGCCTTCAGATCAATGTGTTTCAACAGATTTAGAGGGTTTTAACTGTATTTTACATTTAGGGTTAGGGTTACTGTAGGTTGTTTATATAAAAATGTGAACAGTTTGTACAAGAAATTCGTATATATGAAATGTACAACAAAACATTACAAGTAACATGTTTTGGGTTTGCAAAAATGTAGACAGCGCCCTCTAGCGAATTTGTCTGAAACATTCAATTAAATGTAACCGGAGAAACACATTTTATATTTCGCAAGAAATGTAGATTCAGGTAAATATTTTCAGTGAGACTGGGGTGCACATTATGACGTTATATCATATATAATGAAATATAAAAGTGCCATTTTGAGATAAAACTGTTGAATTGTGAGATAAAATACAGAAGTTGGACAACCATTCAGTATTGTCAGATACATTTTTATCTCACACAATTCTGATTTTGCCCTCAAAATTATTAGTTTACATCTCGCAATCCTGACTTTTTCCCTCAAAATTACATTTCGTAGTGGTAACATCTTCCTCAGAGTATTTCTCATTTTTTCTATGATTTTTAATTTCCACAATATTCAAAATTCATTTTTTCAGAATTCTGACTTTGCTTCCAATTGGACTTTACCTTAGAAGATTTTAACTTCACATCTCAGAATTCTGACATTTTAGAACAAACAATTATAAAAGTATATATTATATACTTTTGGTGTGTTCATTGTTGTACATAAATTATAGAAAGTGCATTGGGATATGATGCAATTAAGCTTAAATTTCGACTATGAATGGACAAACAAACCTTTCGGTTGATCCATATAACCGCAACTGAAATCAATCAGCATTTCTTTCTTCATGTTTACATACACTGAAAACACAGTACGGCAAGCCTGAAAATAGCAGAGCTGGTGTGTTTCTCATAAACAACAGGCTTTCTGAGCTGATAACGTGTCATTAGTTTTCACAGGAGCTTCAGAGGCCATGAGCTGTGCTGCTATGTGTGGAATGCTGGAAAAATACAAGCAAATAGATGACTTCACACATACTCCAGCAACTGTGAACCACATATACACACTTCCAAAGAAAACAGCCACTCATTTCTCAAGATTTTGCTCATTCGTGTGGTACAACCCATTTTAGTGGTGGTGCAATCTTACAGTAAATACTGTATATGGTCATCCAAAATAAAAATCAGTGGCTTCAGTGGTGTAAAAATGCAGCATTCAGACCGATGAAGCCAAAATGAGAGGCATATTATTGATTAAGTTTCCAGCTTGATCTCAATGAATTTTCAATAAAAAAAGAGTAAATAGAAGTCAAAATGTTGTAAAAATCCCTCAGCTGAGTGAGAGGAGGACACATTAGAGCCCCGACTGCCTTTAATGTCTAAGATAAACTGATACCTAATCTGACCGATAAGCATTTGTAGTAATATTTGTAGCCATTTTTGTTGATTTAAAGTTAAATAAAATTAGATTTACTTATCAGCTAAACTTAAATTACAGTAATATAACTTAAAGCTTTTAGAAAGTTCAGTTGAAATCTGGTAAATGGAACTTTAGGGTAAGTTTATTATGACGTACTCATCATATTTGATCATACACTTTTAATCAATTCTTTAAAACGGATTGGTATGTCAAACCAAGATACCACTTGGTTTGCTAATTATTTGTCCAATAGAACACAGTGTTTCCATATGGCCGGGCTGTCTTCTTTATCTTTAGAGGTGCCCAAAGGAGTGCCACAGGGATCAGTATTAGGGCCTATATTATTCTCTATCTATATTAATAACTTGTGCGACAACCTTCCAAATGCCTTTTATCATTTGTACGCTGATGATAGAGTGATTTATTGTTGCTCCCCTACATTTTCTCAGGCCATTCAATTTTTACAGTCTGCTTTTAATATTGTTCAGTCTTGTCTTAAGGATCTCAAATTGGTTTTAAATGTAGACAAATCTAAATTAATGATTTTCACAAATTGTTCCACTCCTGTGCAGAACCAACCAATAATTACCACTGCCCAAGGTCAACAAATAAATATAGTGTCCAGCTATAAGTATTTAGGCTTTCTACTCGATCAGGAGCTTTCTTTCAAAGAACATATAGCAAATTTGGTTAGGAAATTGAGAGTTAAGCTCGGATTTTACTATCAAAATGCATCCTGCTTTTCTCTTAAAGCTCGCAAACATTTGGTGTCTGCAACATTTTTACCCTTGCTTGACTATGGTGATGTTTTATATATGCATGCTTCAAACAAATGTCTTCAGCCTTTAAACTCCATCTATCACAGTGCTCTAAGGTTTGTTACAGGCTGTCAAAGACTTACTCACCATTGTGAATTGTATGCCAAAGCTGAGTGGCCTTCTCTGTATGTAAGAAGGTACACCCATTGGATGACTC